ACTATTCAAATATAGAGGTTATTTGGATGAGCTGTTAGATAATATTAAAGAAGAAAAGCCTAAAAAACTATCATACAAAGTCTAAATGAAAACTCATTGGGCAATTCCAATTATTTATCCTCTGTAAAATGACACATCTACAGGTGTACCTTACAAAACATAGGTGGCATACAAACCCACAGCAAAATAATTTTATTATGTACTAAAATACATAGGAGCAATATTATTTTTTGACTAAAAGTCAACCTTGGTGTTTTTTATTAAAAGCTATCACTCTCCAAAGTGAAATAAAGGAATAGATCACTTAAAGGCAATTGTATATAAAATTATTAAATACAATATGGATAGGCTCTTAAATATTTGGGGATTAATTTAACTTCTCAGAATTCTGTAGATAATTATTTGCTTCCTAGTGTGTTTTCTGATTACACTGTAAGAGGAGTAACTATGTTGACAAACATGTTTTAAAAATATCTATAAAAGGTCTCATTTCACAGATGGCACCAAGAAGTTATTTCTCAATGTTATTGAAAGTATTTTCAAACAAAGAAAATGATTATCAAGGTTTGAAAAAGATGGGATTGAGAAAGAAGTAGAAGAAAGCAAATAAACACTAAAGAATTAGCAGAGAAAACTACACTGTAAGAATGAAGAGAACGAACTGAACTACAGGATAATCTAGCTACTTTTGACATACCCAGCTCTAGTTTCTGACAAGAGGGAATCTCTTCTGTTACCGTAAGGAAGTAGCTGTGCAATCCTTTGAAAGCTAGCAGCAAAGTGGCACAAAGAGTATAATGAAAATTATAAGCATGATGTAGGAAGGAGTCTGCAATAATGAAACTGCATCCCTAAGAAAGAACAGATTTTAGGTACAGTGTTAGTAACCAACAATCTTAAAGTATTATACTTCTAATTTAGAAAAATTTAAAAAAAACCTCAAACATTTTTTATTTTAGTTATTCTAAAACATAAAATTAATCAGCAAAAGGTTTGAGTTAATCTTGTTCATACAAATAATGTAAACATATAAAATACACTAGTAATTTCAGTAATGGAAGATTTTTTTTGAAACAAGTATACTAAATTATGATGATTAATAATTATGATGATTAATAATTATGATGGTTAATAATTTGAAAATCAAACTACATTTCACCTCAAGAACACATACATCTCTATATGCTTTTACAGTAAAACCCCTACCCTCCTTTTCTTCCCCCTGGGGAATAATGGCTGCAATTATACCACATCTGGGTAGGTCTCAACCATGGTAACCGATTATAATAATTCTGTTAAGGGAGTATGAGGTGACAGTATCAAGTTAAAAAGGCACAGTCATCAGAGATCTCTGCATGAAAAATGATAAAATCTTATAGAGTATCAGGTTATTTTCATAATAAACAACTAGAACTACCTATTTGTTAAAATCATGTAATATTAGATCAATACATTGTTGGGCTCAAATAATTAATAAAAAGAATATCGTATACAAAGATAAAACTGTTAAACATATTTCATTTGGAATAAGAAAGATAAACATTTTTAGTTCTTACATCTGGTGATAATTGTTTGCTGTAGTTAATCCCAAAGACCACACTTTCCAGAGTAGGAATCAGAGAATCTCGGTTTTGTGCTGGTACATTTCTGTTTAACCAAGTAGTTTTCACAGGACGAGGAAAGCTGGAGGAATAAATATTAAGGTGCTGTTGTCATTAATAGTCTACTTGAACTTAAGGTGAATATTTACTAAAGAAAATCTTATAAGAAGAAAATACAGAGCAAAGAATATGCAAGGTTATGAGTTCTAACGCATCATTATAATTTTATAAATTTTCCTTTAATAATCTGAATTATTAGGAAGAGACATAATGACTATAAAAATTTCAGACTTAGAAATACGTGAGATTGCTTTTCTATGGTTGGGATTCAGGGAATTTCTAAAGATAAGATCTGGTGGAATCCAAAGTGCCTAAATGATAAATGAAGATTTAATTTAGAAATACTCATCTGTCAGACTGGTTCCCCAGTTTAAAGAAGCTAAATATGCATGCTATTACAGCAATAAATGCAGAAGAAACAAAATCAACCTGATATCTCCACTTCTCAAAAATATTTACTTCTCTCAATTCTCTTCATTAAAAGGCCCTGAATTCTATTAAGATAATCTTTCTTAAAATAATCTTGACATGCTTTAAGGTACCATGTCAATCACATTTTCATTAACTACTTCTATTAATATGAAGAATACACTGTATCGTTCCTTGTAGGCGACTTTGAGGCAATTCCAACCCCGGGAGTCTCGGGAGTCTCGGTGTGTGCAGGGCAGAGCTGCTCCAAGGGGTTTTTAAGGCTGAATCTTTCTGGAAACACAAAACTAGGCCTGTCTTCCAAGGCACCTTTGTGTGGGGGTTCAAACTACAAACCTTTTGATTAAGAATCTAGTGCTTAAACATTTGTATTGCCTATAGACTCATGTAATATTACGTTCAGTATTCTACAAATTTCATAGAGTAAATAATATTTGTGATTGAATATGTAAACATAAACATGATTATACTTAGAGAAAGCACTGGTGATTTTAAGAAGGCCAAAGCATTTGGACTATTTAACAGTTTGGCAAAAGGAAAGAGGCAGAACAGTAAATCATTTTTGCCATAAGCAGAGCGCAGCTTTCATGTACAAAAATCAATTTACTTTGCAAAAATAAAAAACATATATATCAGCAAAGGGAGTCACAAGTCATGGTAAATTCCACTTGCTACAATGTGCCTTTCAGATGAGTCCAAAAAACAAGTTGTGCTTTTAAAAAATTTAGGAAAAAAATAGAAAAACCCAAATAGATTCTGACTCCTAGCAAGCCTACAGGACAGGGTAGAACTGCCCCTGTTGAGTTTCCGAGACTCTTAGTACTTTACGGGAGTGGAGAGCCCCAGTCTTTCTCCTGTGGAGTGGCTCGTAGTTTCAAACTGCTGACCTTGTGGTACGGTACACAGCCCCACACATACCACTATACCACCCTACAAAAAAAAGTAGATCAGATAAAAAGCAAAGAAAGATGTCCTAATCCATTTATTTCAAATAATTGATTTAATATCTATAGTTAGGTTGGTCACAGAAACGTTAAATAAAAAATAACATTTAAAAATAAAATTATAAATTAACATTTTCATTGTATTTAGAAATATCCATATATATCTCCACCTATAGTGAAAAGAACCAATTAAATTCTTAAGTCTTTACAGAGAATGTTTACTAAGATCACTCTGTGAAGTACATTCTCATGAACTCAATAAACTTTGTGATTATTATTTTTTTAAACCCACCTATAACAAAACTTCAGGAAAACTTTGTCAAAGCATAAGCAGTGAGGAATATTACCCTTAACATGATCCCTTTTACCAGCCCCATCAGCAAAAAGCTTTCTCTTATTCCTTCTTTGCTTCCCTTTACCAATCTCTAATTTAAAGGCAAAGAAAGGCAGGGAAAGAGGCTGCTTCCCCCCTGCATGAGTTCTAGCAGCAAGAGAGGTGATGTAAGAGCTCATGGCAGCTAAGTAAAGAACAGCAACCTCAGCTGTTGCAGGCACCTCATTTTTCCCTCCAGTCACTAACCAGAGCCAACAGTTAATCCTCTTGGCTTCTGATTCTGAGCCAAAAATGTCTTCTTCCAGTAAACAGTCTCTAGCAGGTGAGCTGCCCTTTTCTCCTACTAGTCTGTGGCAAAAAATGCTGTATTGCAAGAGGAAGCACACATTTAACTCACTAGGATTAGTGATGTAAATATCACTACTCTAAATATCAGGGCTTTAAAATGTAACATTAATAACCTGCGCTACCTTCTACATTTTCTGGATAGAAACTAAGCCAGTGCTATAGCTAGTCATATGAGTTTTAAAATAGGAATAGCTTAAGCAGCTTAAATATTCTTAAGGAAACTAAAGAAAATTTATGAAATACTAAAAATTTCTTTATGAAATAGATTTAGTATTAAAACTCAATGTGTAGTTCACATAAAATATGGTATATTACTTCTCTGATAGTTATATTCTGATATCCAGTTAACACTAATTTCACTAGAGAATAACACAGGCAAAACCACCTATTAGGAGAAACAAACTTGTTGCTCATCTTGTGCTCTTTATCAAGACGACCTTTATTTAAGGGACTGTGGGTAATACAGTGGAAGAGGTTCTTGATTACAGTTTTTAAAACAATGTACGGATCTATGTCACAGAGGCTGTTACTTGTGAGCAATCGGTCAAATTGTATTATCTCTGTAAAGACTGAGGGCTTTCAGTCGGCAATTTTACCTACTCACCTGTTTTCATAAGCTAATAAAATCCCTTACAGAGCAAACATAGTATTTTATTAGCCATTTGCAATTAGAAAGTACACAGTTCAGATGTCAAATTAATTAAGCGTCTTTTCACCTAAGTTACTGATTTTTTAAAAGTGCCCATAACATAAGGGCATAATTGTGCAAATGTATTCTTACATTAATAAAAGAATCTACCGCCCCACGGAAGTGAGAAACAAGAAAAAAATCACCCTAATGTATTTATTGTGATCCAGAATATTTTATTTTTAAGCTAAAATAGTACATGATATAGTTTAAATAGTTTAAATTAAAATCTTTACAATTGATTAATCAATTAGAAAACAAGAATCTCTGTATAGTACAGATTTAAGATAAAGTTAGCCCAGAGACCAAGAAAAACTAGAAAAATTAATATACTTTTCTAGATAATTAATGAGTAATTTCAGTCTACTACACAAAAACACAGGGATACAATAAACAACCCTGTATGGTTATTCTGGATTGCATTATTTTGCTTGGTCAATTTTTCTAGGATTGACAAAAGTTTGCTCAATATGTCTGTAATAAAAAGCTAGCAATCTAATGCTCTCATGCTCTTAAATTTACTATTTTACTACTTTAGTATAAAAGTATTTATTAAATAATTACACATTAAGAAATTCCTTACAACTTTAGCTATCTTTATCAAAGCACACACGCTTTTTCCCTATAAAAATGATAGGCCTTATTAAGCACTAGAGCATTGGTTAAAATTACCTTATTAGTGGCTGGTGTAGAGCAACCAATGATGCATGGACTGTAACAGATACAACAGAGAGGTGGAAATAATCAAACATAACATTAACATGATGATGAAGGCCTTTATGGAGGCTAAAGTGCAGCTTCAATGTTCGGCTACTTATTAGTTGCAAGGTGTTCAAATCATCTGCCCTATAAAAAGTAATGTATTTGGCATGTAAGTAGGAATATTTAGAAAAGGCTATATTTAGAATATTTAGACAAATATTTTTGCCAAGTATTTTAAACCATCAAAACATTTAGTTACTTAATTAATTTTTAAAAATTTGGAATGAGTAATTTTTTCAAGGATCAGATTTGATTATATAAGATATAAAAATCTAACAATAAGTAAATAATCAGAGGTACCTATAGTTTTTTTAGTCCAAGTTATAAACTTTTTTTGCAACAACACAACTATAATATGAGTCAGTTTGATACTTTAGGCACATTATACTAAACTTTACTCCACATGGTATACCATTTACTACACGGAGGGAGTATAACATAGGTCAAGCAAACCAAGTCCTAGTTTAAAAAATGTCGAAAGATATTTCAAATTTTTTTTAATGTATGGAGATGTTATTAAATGCTGCCCCGCCCCAAAACTGGTAGATGTAGAAAAGTACTAGAAAATTCTTATTCCTCAATGATAATAAGGAAAACAACTAAAGAAAACCTTCAGTAATGTCATTGCTTCTCTATTCTTTATGCTGTTTGAATTTATATATAATTTCCAAAAAATAGTATTAGAACTACATTTGAAATGGAAAAATCAAACTCCAAAAGTTAAATGAATTGCCAATTCTTGTTTTAAGCAAATAAAAGCACAATATAGCCCTAAATTATATGCTTTTATTTCCAAGTGTGTAGGCAAGTTCACGGTAGCCAGTCTGAAGACTCTAGAAATGAAAGTACTGGTGACAACTGTCAAGTCCAAGAGCATCAATCTTGATATATCTCAATACCAGGATATTCTCACCCAAAAAGGTCAGAATGTTAGCCACTAAGGAATTAGCCAACGACATAAAGAAAGTTCAATTATATTAAAATATCTCATGGCAGCAATATGTCAACAGTTCACTTCTAGAGTTTAGCAAAGGGTTTCACATTTCTTCAATTTGTCTGAATTGGCTGTTTGAGGGTTATGGAATGGACATGGGCACAGAAGAGAGGCCATGTTCATGCAAGTCCCCCAGAAGACAGAAGTCATTAAAAATGAACAAGAAGGAGATGGCTTGCCTCTGAGAAATGGAGAACCTAATACTAGCGGATACAGTTATGGGTCTCTAAAGACTTAATTGTCAGATAACCCTACTTACGAATAATCTCCGACTGTGAAGTGTAGATCCAAGGATAACATAAAATTGATTTCCTCAAGTGTTTCTTCAATCTGAAAATAAATTACACTATGAGAAACTTTTTGAATATTTATAGAAAGAAACCTTCAGACATTATAAAATATTTACCTAAATATACACAAAGAGATATTTACCTTTTTTTCATCCAACAACATTTTAACTTTGAAGATCATAACATCATTTAAAACAACTTCCTCATTTTTGTATAGAATTTGAAAGGTTTTACTGCAAATCAGAGACCCATGAATGGAAGCTGGAAAAGCTAAAGTCATACCTAAAACAGATTAAGACATGTAATTGACAGGCAAAAGACAAACTATAATACAAAGTAAACAATTGATATTACTTTAAATTGCTGCCAAGTTTAATTTTATTTCTCCAATGCCGTTATTATTATATGGAACTATTAAAACAACTCTAAAGGGTTAAACCACTTAAAATAATAGGCCTGTGGTTTTCAAGTACCAGTTTTCACGAAAATCAAAGACTGAGGAACTGTTCAAGATTTTAAAAAAAATTTATGTGTTAGAGTATAGACAAGACGATCAGTAAAAGAGGAGACCCTTAACAAGAAGGATCGACTGGCTACTATAAGGGATTCAAACATAGCAACAAGAATGAGGATGGCGTAGGACTGGGTAGTGTGTTGTACATAGGTTAGACTCAATAGAACCTACCAACAATCACAGAGAAATACAACTCATTATAATGTAGAATTAGAATATTCTGCTATAAAGTAACACTATTGGATCAACTAATAAAATTCAAGTGAAGCTAATGAGAAGATAGCAATGTATCAATATTAATTTCCTGGTTTTGATGGTTATGTTAGGGTTACAGAGGAAATTATTCTCGTTTGGAGACTTTATAGTCAAGAATTTGGAGAAGATAGGATATCATATTGGCCAATCACTCTTAAATGGCTTAGGGAAAATATTTTATACTGTACTTACAACTTTTTTCGAGGTTCAAGATTGTTTCCTGTTTTTGACAAAACTCTTCAACACGTTTTGATCCTCTAATTCATCTCTTACAATTCTCTTTTTAGGCCACTTAGTGGTAGTGAATCTCCAAGTGGTGCCCAATGAATCTCACCTGCTGGTACTAACATTCATGTGTAAATCACTCCCACTAAGAGCTGAAGTGAGTGATGGTAGGTTAGCATCTTCCATAATGCTTGTTCTTGCTCGCTCACTCCCAGACTAATGCGCAGCGGGAAGTCAAATATCACCTCCTGAGGGCACGGGGCAGTCTATAAAGGTTTATGTTTAATAACTGAGGTCTGCCAACAACTAAGGGAGTGGGTTTGAAAATGGATCCTTCAGCCTCAGTTGCACGTTGGATGAATGAATCTCTGGTAATAACTTGACTACAAATTTTATTTTTACTCAGTGTAAGTGAAAATAGCATGTATTTTAGTCTAATAAATTTTCCTATATATATATATTTTTTCCCCTTTCTCACTAGTATTTTAAATTCTACACCATTGGTTAGGTTAATGATAAGATTATTAGAAAAATACCAAGTGTTTCTTGCAAGTTATCTACATTTTTTCTCAAGAAGTTGATAATGCTGCCTCAAGTGTATCTGTCTACACCTTACATATATGATGTATTCTGAGTTTGAACTTAATCATAAACCCTAATTTAAGAGTTAGTTCTTATGATTTGGCCCTGGCTCTATACCTGCCCTCATGATGAGATCATGGAAAACATGTGCTATAGCAAAGTATGATGCAGGAAGCAGATGGTTGCTGGCTATCAGAAAGAATAGTGGCAGCGGTCTTTTGTCTTAAAACAAAGCAGTCTTCTAAGCCAACACAAGTGAGGCATCAGCTAAGCTAATACAAAAGAAGCCAGCTGTGTGAACCAAGGATTGCAAATAAAATCTAAGACCAGGCGAGGGAATTATATTAGGGCATAAATCCTGAGCACCCAGTTTGCAGAAGGCTACAGATGACAGTGAAAACCCAAAAGCCATTTGCAGAGTCCCCACATGGACTGTTTCCAATGAACTCCTTAGCACCATCAACCAGATACTTGAAGAGTTTTGTCCTTAGAGTGCACTGAAAAATGTACTACTGCAAATACAGTTCAGTCAAAGTGCAACATCTTACCATTTCCCCCACCTTGACAATTTGAAACTTAATCTAGGGCAGTGGTTCTCAACCTTCCTAATGCCGCGACCCTTTCATACAGTTCCTCATGTGGTGGTGACCCCTCAACCATTAAATTATTTTCGTTGCTATTTAATAACTGTAATTTTGCTACTGTGATGAATTGGGCGACCCCTGTCAAAGGGTCATTCGACCCTAAAAGGGGTTACGACCCACAGATTGAGAACCACTGATCTAAGGGGTTTGTTATTTTATGCTTTCTTTTGGAATGACGTTTGTGTTCTATTTTGTTGCTTCTGAGGGGTCTTTTTTTGGGTGGGGGGATATGATTTTCTTTACATGAAATCTAGAATAAGCAAATCTATAGAGACAGTAAGTAGCTTAATAGATCCTTAGGGTAGGGTTATGACAAGGGAGATTGGAAGGCAATGGGGAGCTAATAACAATGGATATAAGAATGAAGAAAATGAGAAACAATGACTGTGGTTAGGATTGCACAATTCTTAATATATTTAAACCATTTAATGGTATCATACACAAAATATATGTCAATAAAACAGTAAAAAAAAAAGATAAATAATTTGGCGACAACTTCATGAGACCCCAGCTAAACCATTTCTGAAAGTACAAGATCATAAGTGTTGTTTTAAGATATAAAGTTTTGGAGTACACTTTTATACAGCTACATATAATTAAAATACATTCCAACCAGACTGTGAACCATGTAACTCCTCTTATCAATATTAATAATGACTTGTTAAATCTAATGGTCAATGGTCAGATATCATTTTACTTGTCCTATCATCAGCTTTGATAGTTTGCTTCTTGAAAGACTAATTTGGCTTTCTAGGGTTTTGCTCCTACCTCACAAATCATTCCTTTTTAGTCTCTTTTGACTGGATCATTCTCATCCAAGCAGCAGCATAGTAGGGTGGCTTACAGCAGACTCTGGAACCAAACAGGGTTGGTTTAAATCCTGGCTCTGCCACCCAGTAGCACTGTGATCTTTGTTGATTCTTTTCCTTATTCCATGTCCTGCATAAAATTCTACAGCAAACCCACGGGCTCTATCAACAAAATATATTCAGTAACATTGAGTGCTAGAAATAATCAAACATAAGTAAGAGATTGCCTTCAGGGATGCTCTAAAAAAGATTCTATCACTGGATAAAAATATCTCCAAATACTAACAATACTGTATTTTCAATATCGGTTACCTATATTCTTGATTGAAAATAATACTTAAAATTTTTTGAAGGTATAGCAATGGCTTACACACACAAAAAAAATAGCTCCTTAATTTTATTCACAAACAATGGGAAACAGATATATAACTCCCTTCTAGTATTTCCTTCACATATCCAAGCAACAAATGTCTACTGAGTACTAGTATGTGTGAAGCCAACTTTCTAGATGTTAGGAAATGCATAGTAAAATAAACAAACTCCTAATAAAACAACAAAAATCTCGCTACCATCGAGTCAATTTCTATTCATAGTGGCCAGGTAGAACAGAAATGTCCCTGTGAATTTCCAAGACTGTCACTGTTTAACTGCCTTCCAGTCAATGGTGACTCCTAACGACCCAACTGTGGGTTTCTGAGACTGTAACGGTTTACAGGAGTAGAAAGCCGTCTTTCTCCCATGGAGCTGCTGGTGGTTTTGTAATGTGGACCATGCGGACTGCAGCCCTACACTTAACTACTACACCACAAGGGTTCCAACAGAGGAGTAGAAAACCTTGCCTTTCTCTCAAGGAGTAGCTGGTCATTTTGAATTGGGGACCTAGCAGTTAGGAGCCACTATGCCACCAGGGTCCTAGAGTAAAATAAAAATATCTTGATTCATGGAATTTATATTCTAATAGCAATGAGGGGGAAGACAGCCTTGGCAGAGAAGAAAAATAATTAACAATAGATAAAAATGCATTGTTAATAATGAAGTGCTGGTGATTAAATAATTTAAACAATAATGCTTTGCTGAGGTGGGCTATCAACAAACACCTCCATGTCTTCTACTCCATAACATGTGACTGCCTCTCCTTCATCCTAGTGGAAGTCGAGGGATTTACTCCCAGAGAAGGTAAAATAGTGGACCCGATAAATGGAAGTCACCTGACGAGACTGAAAACATAAGTTTCTGAGTATATGCATATTAAATACTGAATGCAGAGATCCTCAAAATTCTCTCTGTACTCAGTTCTAGAAGGCTGGGGGCTATATTAATATCTTCTTGGAAGCAGATAGACAAGAATCTTCTTTTATGTTTCAGCAACTATTACATCTAAAGATTTTACGTTAATTGCAAGCTAACAAACAAATTTGCCATAGTTTCACAGATATTAGCAGAAATGAAAAAGGATTTTATTAATCACAGCATGAGCATCATGTTTATTATCAGTGTTTTTTCCCCCCAACTCCCACAGAGTGACATGGAGGCAGGCCTAGGTGGATAAAATACATACAGAAGTTTTTAGTTATTGCTGAGGAGCTTAGGAAAACCCAAATTTTTAGAGAAATATAAAGAAACCTATTCAATCTATCCATGGAAGGGAGACATTTTATACTAGAGAAAAAATAAAACTACTACTAACCCCACATCAAAACACAATCTCTCTTTCAAAGTTATTCACTCTACAAATATCCTTGACGAGGTAATGTGGAACAGAAAGCTTCCAGTGCCTGTTTACAAAGTGTACAGAAACAGAGAGCACAGAGAACCATTTTCAACAATATACAAAGTAAAATCTTAGCTCCTCACAGCTGTTGACATTAAAAATCTGATCAGTTCGATACAAGAGACCGATAGATACGAGTTTAGAAGATTCCTTTAGAAATTATCTTTTCAAAGAATATCAGACTAGTCCCAAGTTGGATTACATGAAGAATGTGACATCAAGATTGAAGGACCTTTTATTAACAACCTGACATAGGAGGCTATGAGGCACTTGCTGATGAAGATCAAGGATTGCAGCCGTCAGTATGGATTACAACTCACTGACCAAAAGTCCTCACGACTGGACCAATAAGTAATATGACAAAGGGAGAAAAGATGAAAGATTGAAGTTGTCAAGGATTCATCTTGCTTGGATTCACAATCAATGCTCAAGGAAGCAGCAGTCAAAGGATGTATTGTGTCAGGTACTGTGTTAGTCAGATA